GGCCATAAATATCATCTTGCCTAGAAGCAATGGAACAGGAAATAAAATGAAGGATGAAGTCTAGCAAGAAAGCTTGCTTTGGTCACCAAAGACTACAGTAAAAGGACAGCTGTCTGATTTATTTGCTATTTGACTTGAAAAGAAAAAGATTTATAGTGCCACGAAAGTCATCAGAAAAATAAAAGACCAGTCTTTAACAAAGGTATAATTGGCTATTGCCTCTGATTTTAAAGATTAACTGAAGCATTGTATTGGCACAGAGATGACAAGGGCAGCTACTGAAAACAGGCCTGTTGCATCCTCACAGAAAGAAAATTAAAATCTCACTCTGATTTATCATCATTGCAGCTGTCTTCTTTGTGATTTTGTTAATATGTCTAAGCCTAGGCTGAATGGCAGGAATCATATTTTCTTTGCATTACATTTGGGGGCTGCCCCCACACACCGGATCTCATCTGATCTTGGAAGCTAAGCAGCTCTGGTTAGTACATGGATGGGAGACCATCAACAAATATCAGGCGCTGTAGGCTACATTTCAGAGGAAGGAACTGGCAAAACCACTTCTGAGTATTCCTTGCCTAAAAAGTTCTATGCAAATCATAAATCGACAGGTGATTTGAACTACACACACACACTTGATTTGAGAGTTTTGCTTGATTTTGTATTGGAAATTTTTTTGGCTAAGATCATCCCTTCTGCAACAGTTCCGGAAATATCTCTTAGGCTTTTTCTCAATAATACCAGCTCCAGAAGATTAATATAAATCCAGCCTTGGGGGCCACTTCTTTATGGATAATCTTTTCCCTTTAGGGAAGCTCCAAATAAAGGGCTTATAATGAAGCCTAGATAGCATTCTGAAATCCTGCCGTGAAAACATGGTATGGTGCATAATTAGTGATGATAATTAAGGAAGTTTTGATTTTTAGCTTCTCATTCAGCAGCTTACAGGAATAAGCATAACTCAGTGGCAAAATAGAGGCTCTGAATGTAGAAAATTCTCACATTCAGTACTTGGCACATCCACTACAAAAGGTATCAGGCAGTCAGATTGGGAGAGCCTTCTGGAGAATGGCTGTCCCTTAGACAAGACTGTGCTAGACTACTTGTGTGTTTTGATAGATGACAGCTCTGTCATTTTGGCAACTCATTTGGATGAAACATTAAATGGAGACAGCTCGGGACAACAAACTTGTAGCCTTCCAAATGCTGCTGGATTCTAACTCCTGTCAGTACAGGAAATAGTTACAGATGATGGGAGTATAGAATCCAATATATGAAGAATCACAGGATCTCCACCCTATCAGCCCAAAAATGTAAGCTGTATTTTGCTGCATGATCAACATGGCTGCCCCCTAGATAATTATCTTTTGGATTGGAAAATACCTACATCACCATCTTAAAGTCAGCTTTAGCACTTCAAGATACAGCTCTGTGATCCTCCATCATCACGTTTCCATCACTAAAATGACTTTTAACATCCATAGCTGATGAAGTCTGTAAACTTCAAAAGCTCACATGTATTTTGTTGCAATGTGGTTTTTTTTTGGTGTTGTTGTTGTCAACACAGTTACCTCTGGATATATATGCCAGAACCCACCCATCCTTCCACAAATCGTTTTGTAGATCAGATATTGTTCTTAAGGAGGTAAAATACTGCCAGACTTGGACTTTTAGGACCTTTACAGACTGCCAGAAATAGTGCAGCTTGAGGCCACTGTAACTGTCCTGGCTCAGTGCTAGGAAATCATGGGAATTATTTTTTTTTTCTGGGACATTGAGCCTTCTCTGTCAGAGAGCTCTGGTGCCACAATAAACTACAGTTCCCATGATTCCTTAGCACTGAGCCAGGACAATTAATGTGGCCTCAAGCTGCACTATTTCTGGCAGTCTGTAAAGGCCTTTATTCACCTTTAGGTTTTTCTTAAGAGTCTTTGCTGCTCCACTTTGAATTATAATAACCCGAAGATATGGCACTTGGAAGAGACTACTAAGTTCAGTCCCATTTTGCTTAAAGAAATGGGGAAAAAGCAAACCAAAAGAAAAGACAGGAACCTATAATGACAGTTCTGTCAAGATTACCTTTACATGTAAATGTCCAAGATTTGGTGGTATTGCCATTATTGTGATTAAAATCTTTGTTAGCTGGAGACTTATTTCCTTACAGTCTTCTTGGCATATTTCAATGAGAGCTTCCACACATGAGAATAATTGTGTCACATAAAAAACCTACACAAATACAGACAGGAAGTTAATGTTTACAAGCATTTTTTATCACTTCCACATCCTTCTTTGCTCCATTTCCATTGAATAACCATGTTTAAGCTGGGGAGAGGCACAAGTACCTTTCCTCTAGAAAGCTCATTTCCATCCACTTTAATAGCTGGAAGGATCCTAACAAGAACTGTGGTGATTGGTATGCAAACACTCCAAGCAATCAGCAGTGTTAAAACTCCTGCTCTCAAAACAGTTCTTGCATGTCAAGGATGGGTAAAATGTACCCTACATGGCTGTTTGGGACCCCAAGTCCCCTGGGCTCCAAAATTCTATCTAGGGGTGTGGAGGGCATTTCCACTATGTTTGAAAGTCCCTTGGGCTGCCTAGGGACATTTCTTCTTCTTCTTCTTCTTCTCCCTCCTCCTCCAAAATACTTTCAGAGGGTATTTCCATCATATGTGATAGGGATTTGTAGCCCTCCAAGGTCTCCTGGGGTACTAATGTGGCCTCCAAGCCTTCTACAAGATCCTGAAGTGTAAAGATATAACACTGAATAGTAAGGTTAGGACTGTCCACACCATTATATTTCCCATTACTATGTGTGGTTGTGAAAGCTGGAAAGTGAAGGAAGCTGATAGCAAGAAAATAAACTCATTTGACATGTGGTGCTGCAGAAGAGGTCTACAGATACTATGGACAGCTAAAAAGACAAATAAATGGGTCCTAGAGCAAATCAAACCTGCTATACCTATACAGTACAAAGTTTAAAGATCTACTTCAGGTAAAACAAAGAAGATCTTAGAAAGCATGGGCACCGTTTGGTTAATGAGAACATGGAAAGACATCCCCCTTCAACAGACTGAAAGATCATTTGAGCTCAGGAGTTCTGGGCTGCCGCAAGCTATACCAATTGAGTGTCCACACTAAATTCAGCATCATGGTTGTTAAATGTATTTTGCATTCTCCTTACCTCTTCAGACCGCTGACTTATTTCAGGTTGGGAGAGCATGTTGGCAAGGTACACCAAATGAGGCTGCAAGATTTTCCTTGGGGAACCATGTATAACTGCTGCTAGAATCATGAGGTAAGAAGGCATGGGTGTTTTTTCGAGGTCAGACACTATTAACTTCAGAGACACTTCTGGGCTGACAAAAACTCCAATCAGCTCTGCTGCTTTCAAACACTGTAAGAAATAACACACCCACACATACAGCCAGACCGTAATAAGCAAAAGACAAATCAAGTTCAACAATACCATTTTTTAAATGGGAGGATGCCAGCTGTTTTCTCCCTTCTCTTTTAATGCCTCAAGGAATTGCCTTGTAGGCCTTTCCAGTATCTTCACTCACTCATGATTAAATGCATGACAAAGTTTTCTTGACATGTAGCGAGAAAGCTCAAAATGAGTGCTCACATGCCTTCTTTCATCACCAACCTTTCAAACAGAAAATTTAAAAAAATCTGAAGAAGCAAAATGAGGTACACAACATCCAATGTTAACAGAATCTTTTAGCCAGCCATCAGCTGGAAGCCTACACTGGATTTATTAGCTCTGGGCTTTAAAAAGTGCCCCTTTGAAATACCCCCATCTCTGTCAAATTTAAAGAGATGGAAAATAAGTTATTCTCTCTTAACATTTTCAAGATTTTAAAAGCTTCACATTGTGTTTTGGGGAAAAAACAAGCCTTCTCTGTCAAAGGCAATGAATCATGACTGAAGACAATTCATATTTGCTCATGAACTGGACTAGAAGCTTGCTAAGCAGAGAACAGGTTCTCTCATTCTTGTTGTTAAATAAAGGTGTCACTGAGCATTATGCATCTTATAAGGAGCACTTGCAAGCTGCAGGAAAAGAGATTCCACCTCAACATTAGGAGGAACTTCCCAACAGTAAGGGTGGTTCGACAGTGGAATACACTCCCTCGGAGTCTGGTGGAGTCTCCTTCCTTTGAGGTCTTTAAGCAGAGGCTGGATGGCCATCTGTTGGGGATGCTTTGATTGGGAATTCCTGCATGGCAGGGGGGTTGGACTGGATGGCCCTTGTGGTCTCTTTCAACTCTATGATTCTATGACTTGTGCACATCCTACTTACACTGCTAATTAGCTTTTTCTTTCCTACCTTGGAAAGCTTTTTCTTTCATACCTTTGACAGTGTGAACCTAGGTAAGCAGGCTTTCAAGGAGTGCATTCGTTAGCTAAGATTCCTGGCTTATCCTGGCTTGCTGTATACAAACAACATGCTGCTGCATACAGCTTATTCGCTGCCATCTCAATCTTGCAAGAGGTCAACTAACCAGAAATTGATAGCTTATTATAGCGGTATGAACATGGATTCTGACTTGTTATCAAACAAAATAGGATTGCAAACCTATAATAAAGTGTGTGTGAACAACTAACAGGACCATAGGACACTGCCTCATACCAAATCCTAAGAAGAACAACAAGTTTTAAGACTACAGGAATTGCTTTGCTGCAACAGACCAAAAGGTTTAAGTATTCTGGCATGACCTTTCCCACTGTGGCTAACTAGAAGGCTCCAGAAAGCCAACAAAAAGTTATCAAAGCAATACTTGACAGCCATATTGCCTCTAAAACCAGAGGTTCCGTAGCCAGCTTGTCTAGTAGTGATACATTTTAAAAATTAAATGGCCATCCACAGAGAAATTGCACACCCCTATACAAGATTTTTTGTCAATATTATTGCACTGTATCTCTGTTGTTGTTGTTGTTGTTGTGTGCCTTCAAGTTATTTCCAACTTATGGCAACCCTATCATGGGATTTTCCACGGCTGAGCAGGGAATCAAACCCTGATGTCCAAGGTCACAGCCCAATGCTCAAACCACTACACCACACTGGCGCTCAGAATATCTTTACAGTTTCCTTGACATTATAAAATGAGAAATAACACCCCCTGTTTCTTTGTGCCTTAAACAGTTTTTGCATCTCTGTCAAGGTTACACTTTGTGTCAACATGCCATGTTTCAAAAACAAACACATACAACTTTTCAAATTGCATCTTAAGTGGCATCTAAGTCAAACAACAGACTAGGCTAATGACTTCTTCCACACATAGGAAATCAGAATGAAGAAAGAAATTTACTGTATCTGAATGTAATTAAGGCTATCACATGGAATAAGCATACTTTAATATTGTGGGAGGATTACACAGCAGAGAGGGAGAAACAGATAACATGTAAAATTAACCTGAAAGGGCATGAACTGTACATAGTTTGAAAATGGAATTTCTCTCCCTAAGGCACTTTACACTTTAATCTCTTGCTTATGATTTTTAAGAGGCTGCTAATGCTCTACTTGGCCAACACCATAGGGGAACTACAATTTGAACAATCCCATCACTAATGTATAATAATCAAACAGAAACAAAGTCAGCTCTATAGTGCCCATTTAGGTTTCCTATCTGTCCTGATCCAACAAGGATGATCCAAAAGCAGATTATCCTTTTGGCTCAGTTTTCATGCATTAAAAAACACGCAAGAAGAAAGACATCTAGGACTTGGGTGTATCATTAAGTTAACAGGCATGGACAAAAGGAAGTTAAGGAGCAAAATATCTTCAGAAAAGAAATTCTACAGTAACAATTTCTAGAATATTTCATCTTAGACAGGAAAAAAAAATCCACCTTCTGGAATGCAGTGTACCATAAAAAAATCAATAAACACAATATCTTTAAATATTTAGAAGTATTCAAATAAAAATAATTTAAACAATATTAAGTATACTTTACTGATTCTTCCTTTTAATTCATTATTTCAGTTTAACCACATTTCAACTATTGTAAAAAAAAAGATACAGCATATAAAATTAACATGACATTTCGGTTTAGCTTTGTTTACTACATGTAAGTCTAACTGGCAAGCTCAACCATACTGCCTTTAATTTAAAAAAGCTGAAGGTTTTGTGGAAAACCCCATCATTTGAAATGGACATACTTACATTCCTAACCACAATACTTTCTTCATCTGAGCATACACGATACAAAGTCCTGAGAAGAGGTTCCATATGTTGTGTAATGTGGTCCTCTACATGCTGCAAAAGTACAACCAGAAGCTGAGATGCCTTTATTCTGGTGCCTTCAACCCAGTCAGTTAAATCATGACAGAGACCTGGAAGTATTTTGAACAAGTTTCTGGTCACAAGCTCCCGACACCCCAGTTCTGGACGTGTTACTAAAATGAGAAAAGAAAAGAGAGAAAAAGAATTTGGGGAGAATGAAAGTCTTTTTTTTAAAAAAGAACTTTTTGAAAGTTTACTAAAATGATACCCAAACTTTAGGTCTTAAACTGACACCAAGGCACCCCCAAAAACATATTATGTGCAGTTTTCCAAAATCTTGTGTGATCTATATGTTTCTAAGGAAGCTGATTTCAACTTCTTGATTGAGATGAAGAAAATCAAAATTCAGTCTGCAATATAGATTTCCAAACTTTATGGTGGGAAATGATTTAAGAGTAATAAGATGATCAAGCGTAATCTTTAGAAATGGCCAATATGATATTTATTTACTACAAATACCATTAGAGTCAGTGTACTTTAGGGAGTCAGCATGGTCTAGTGATTATCCTGTAAGCCACCTCGGGCCCCTTTCTGTGAGAAAAGTGACATAGAAATTAAGTAAATAAATACATTTGAATGAATCCACACTCAGCCGGGTGTGTGTGTGTGTGAAATGTATGTGGTGTAAAATTGGAAATATTTAGTAATGATTTATTATACAAGTTGTATGGTATTATTGAGCATAAAATCAATAAATAAAGTTAATAATATATTTTTTAAATCCACACTCAGCTGTGGAGACCCACTGAGTGACATTTGGCAAGTGACACTCTCTCAAAGGAAGACAATGGCAAGCCCTCTCTGAACAAATCTTGTCAAGAAAACCCCAAATAGATTTGCTTTGTTGTTGTGTGCCTTCAAGCTATTGCTGACTAATGGCAACCTTAATGCAGACCTATCATGCAGTTTTCTAGCAAGATTTGTACAGAGGTGGTTTGCCTTTGCTTTCCTATGAACTGAGAGAATGTGACTTGTCCATTGTCACCCAGTGTATTTCCATAGCTGGGAAAGGATTCAAACCTTGGTCTCCAGAGTCATAGTCCAACATTCAAACCACAATCACATAAGTGGAAATGGCTTGAGGGCATACTACCACCACCATTAAAAGTGCATTAACATCCTCTTCAGGCATTACGCTATTTGTTAAATGCCCTACTTAGAATATTGACTACTTTTAGACCTGTGGCACATCAACTAGGGAGAGGAACTTTTTGGTGGTGACACCTTGGCTTATGGAATATCTATTACCCTCACTGAGAGGTCTGCCTGGTAGATTTCTTGTTAAATTTAAGAACTTAGGCTAAGGCTTTTCATTTGCACGAGCTTTGAATACATTAGAATCTGGATTTTATTCATTGAAAATTCACACACAATCAGTTTTATGCATTATTATATTTTCTTATGTACTTGTTCATGCTTGCTTTTATTTTTCCCATTTTGCTGCTATTTGATTTAACTTTTTTTTTTAAAAAAAATTAAAAGTGCATTAAAAATGAATGTATTTATTATACACCACTTCAGACTTGTGTTTGAAAGTGGAGAAGCAGGATGTATATTTAAAACGACAACTAAATCAATACAATTCTAATAACAGCAGCATTAATGTTAAGAGGCTCCTGACTAAAGAAGTTGACATTCACAAAAGAAAGCCCTGAAGCATCTCCCAGCTTTCCATGTGGGGCTCTGCTTGTGTGGCTATCCATTTAAAGAAAATGAAGTCAAAGCTAAACAATATACAAAGGCAGAAGTGTTTGTGAAGCACCTACTTAGAGGGAAGAATCTTCAAAGGCACTCTGAACTAAGGTTTCTTTTTGTCAAGGAAGAGAGCATTTGGATTATGGAAACTGACAGCGGACAACAAAAAGGTCAAACTCTGAAATCTTGTCTGAGAAGAGAAAGACAGAAAGTGGCATCCCATCTGGCCAGAGGCGTCACTTTTCAAAAGATTATGGCTGGTCCTTTTCAACAGTTCCCTTCATTTCTGATGCAAAAATACAGCTATTTCATCTGCATATCTCACTGCTGTCAAAGACTTTTCTCCCTCCACCTTTCTCTAACCTGTCTGCACCAGTGTCCTAAGGCAATGATTTTTTTTTAAAGAAACATTTTCTGTAGAAAGTAACCCTATTGTTAGAAGGCTACTGAGTTCCTTCTTTATTTCTCCCTCCCCCCCCCCCCCCATCTGCAATCTTTGTCAACGAAACATCAAGATATAAAGAGGCAGAAGTGTCAGCTTCAGAAGTTTGCAGCTAGAAAGACTAAGGTTCAAGGGAATCGCGAACTGGGGGACATGGTGGGGGAGAAAATGGAATTGTGCATTTTAGAGGTAAAGTAGTTCATTTCTCACACAATGGGTGGCAGTCTTTGAGAGGCATGGTCAAAGGACTGGGTGCAGGCATCCTCAGATGATTCACTACAGAGCAGCTAGAGATATCATTGGGGAGTGCCCAAGGCCAAAGAAAAATTGAGACAAGGAAAGAGTGCTAGAAACTCTTGAACTGTGCTTCAGTGAAAACATTCCTTACCACAAAATACGCTAAACAAATAGAGTGATATGGCATGTATTCACTGCATAGAATCAGATGATTCCTAACAAAGTGTGCAGATGTCAGCCAGCCTAATGCTAAAGGCATAGGTCAGCCTACTTGCTCCTGGCAGTGTTAGGATTCAAGGACAACATGCAGCCTTGAAGGAATTGTAGCATTCAGTCTCACAGCACTGCCGCTTCAGAGTCTGAAGAGATTTTGTGTACTCAAAGGGAAATAAAAGCAGTATATCAACTTAGCTGCCTTTCAGGAAATGCGGACTGTTGCTGAGGTGCTCAGAATGTGGAACACACCAAGGATTGATCTAACCAATGACAAATGACTCATTACATTCAGATGTAAGTATCTTTTCTGACAATATATGGCAAGTAAATATGAAAAATATAGCATAAAGGTGCGACATTGCTGTGGTGCTAAGACAATAAATCTTTTACCTGGTCAGGCAGTTTGGTACACCATGGGAAGCATATGTGGTGGTTTCAGTGTTGGACTAGAACTCTATATGCCAGGGTTCTCCGCTTGGTAAAGATATCCCACTGGATGAACCTAGGCAAGTCACACTCTCTCATCCTCAGAGAATGACAATGGCAACATTCTTTTGAAGAAATCATGCCATGAAAACTCCATGACAGGTTCATCTTAAGGCCAGCATAAGTCATAAACAACTTGAAGGCATACAAGAACAACAACAACAACAAAAACCCAACACAAAACCCACCCTACAGACATGCTGGCCATTAAAATCGGAGTCCTAAAACAGAAAAGTCAATCCTGCTGACATCTACTGGACAATCAAGTTGCACGTAACTAAAGTCCTTTATGTATGACAATATCCATTTCATACTGTGCCCTCGATGTGTACAGTATTTGCCAAAAAAGGCAAGTCATCACTGGACTAAATACAACTATGTAAAGAGCTGACTTCACACATTTTTCAGGCTAACAAAGAGAACACCATATCAGAAAGCAATTTTAAACTTCTCAAGAGATACAGTGCAATTTAAGTAAGTCAAATGACTAAAAGGCTCTGTAATTTGCTATTAATCTTTTTGTAGTAGATGCAATTAGGAGAAGGTATGATGCATGAAGAGATTGTTTGAATAGGCAGTTGGGGTATTGCCCAGCCTTGTGATCTATACTTGTTTTGCAAAGAATACTGTCTCATACAGTTCCCAGAATGCCAAGTATTACCCCCTATCTCTTACAAGTAAGACTTTATCATCTGCTATCCTCTTGG